CAAGAGTGTGCTACAGCTGCTTCCACAGAATGCACTCTATATAATAATCAGGACCAGAAACATTTTACAAATAGGAAAATCTCTGGCCTCTGTCTGAATCCCAACTGGCACCCAAGCCTTGCATTCAGGCAGCGCTGGCCATGCAGGCGCTGAGGGCAGCACACAGGTGCAGCTGGGCTCTCCTGACCCTGGGAACACAGTGGGACCAGGGCAGCAATGTCTGCTGCAGGTAGGGACCTGCACAGCCTTCCTCAGCAAGAGACAGGGCACAGCTACACTTGAACCTAACGATGGAGTCCCCACTTCCCACCTTGCCAGACCCTTGGTCTCCTACAGAGGCAGGATCCGTCTGTCTCGAGGCAGCTTTGGAGGGAGCCCTGCCTGCACCCTCACAGGGCTCTCCACCACCTGCCTCCCTCAGAAGGGTAACTCTCACAGCAAACACATCAGAGAAAGTGCAAAACGTTCCCAGGAGCAGGTTTTCCACAGTGCTTGGATGGTCTCTGCTCAGAGGCATTGCTGGCATCGCGTCAGATTCGGCACAGGAGGGCAGGCAGAGTTTTCAAAGGGGTGGGGAGAGGTGAGCAGAAACACTCACTGTCTTTTCGAGAATCACAGGGGGAAACTAGAAAGAGGCAATGTCATGGAGAACAATAAAAAGTGAGACTTTTCCAATTGCCTGTGAAAGGTGAGAAAGCAGATGAAGATTTTTGAGAACAAATGAAACACACACATACATGCACATACATACCCGTCATCTCTAGATCCCGGGGAGAAGGCAAGCTGCTGCATTGTGTAGAGATTCAAAATGTAGAAAATCAATTGTAAATCACGAGTTCTGGATTCTTTGAGATGAAGTGTAATCTGATTTACAATGTTACAAAAAGAAATTAAAGTTAATTCCAACATGATTGTGGGTATACCGCAATTTAATACAACCATGCTGTGGCCTTTAAATCTCCACATTGCAATATGCCAACAGCCATTACTTCTTTAAGTTTTGTATTTTATTTTAAACTATAAATTGGAAATATCACATAGCTTGTTATTTACATTTCAGAGTTAGGAACTTTGCTAAGAAACACAGTGCTCTATGGTGTAATACGATTATTGTGCAACTACCATACAGTTAGGATAGTTAAAGGCACTCCACTTCACCTCATCATTTTTTCTGCTTAAATATTATGCCACATTCTGATTAATACCAGACCAATAAAATCATCTTAGCAATCTGGTTAGAGTCTTTTGTCTACCCAGATGGCCTGCAATGTTAATGTGTGACAATTTCAACAATGAACTAGGACTGTTTTATGGAACCAACATTTGTTCCACTGCTTTTTCTTCTTAGGCTCAGAATTTTGACACAGATGGTACAAATTACTCAAAAAACAGAAATGTTCATTTAGAAGGCTTAAATATGTGGTTTTACTCAGGCCATCCGAATCTTTTACATTTACAATTCAGTAAATTTACTAACAACCCTGCTGTAATTAAGGTCTATAAAAATCTTCCCTCCTTTCCTGCTTGCTTTTCCCCTTACATATCTACGGCATTTCATTATGCATCCAATTTATTAATATTTATTCCAGTTCTGAAATGTTTTTAATTTTGGAGGATTTACACTGTTCAATCTTGCATCCGATTCTTCATACCTTTCTAATTATGGGGAAGGGGGGAAAAACCCATTTAATCTGTAACCACATCTTAATCCCCCCAGAACCTACACTTTTCTAGATCTTAAAGGAGTAGAAAAAGAAAAGACAGAACTATGTCATCAGCTTCTGGCCAAACAGCACGGCATTTTCAGTGAAGCAGAAGATTTTTTAATCCTGACTTTCCATACAAATACTCAGGAAAGAGTAAGACATCTCTGCAAAATTACAACGGGGGAAGAAAATGGGATTCTATAAAGTGTTTTTGAGAGAGAAAGGGAGAGAGGAAGAGGAAACCCCAGACTAAAGACAGATGCACTTACAGTTTGACCAAGCCTATAAAGGCAAGAGGTTATTGTGCAAAACTGCCAGAAGAGAAGAGAGTTAACATAGAGCAACTGCTCTGGAGCTTTTGCTGCTACCCCAGGGAGAACAGAGCTGGCACAGGCTTTCCTCTGCCTGTCCAGGCAGGGGCATGTTCTGCAGCCCCAGAGCAGCCGACAGTGCCAAGGCACCTCCTCCAAGAGTGCCAGACAAGCTTCCTGCCATACGTCCAGGCTCCCCTAGACCTGCAAACCATCACAGGGGGCTCTCCAAAATGATCTGGCCACACACAGAAGCAAGGAGGAGCATGAGAAAGGCAGAGACCCTGCTCTGCTCCAACCCAGACACACTGCAGCCCCCACTTGGTGCAGCCCAGCAGAGACTGTGGTCCGCAACAGCCCACCTGCTTCCAGAAAGCCTTTGGGTTTATAGGAGAGGTTGTGCTGAAATTTTCCATCTGGGTGCACAGCACCCACCTGAGTCTCCACAGCAGGGTTTGCTTTCAGGGCATCCTTCCCAAGTGTATTGTGACACCAGGCATGGCCCCAGAAACCTCATGCCATTTCACAGCACTGCAATTGCTAACATTTATTTCACAGTCTTCCTTTGACACTTGCTGTACCAGTGTGTGGTTTCAGCATCACTCTGATGTTCTGGTTTCTGTCTGACTACATCTCTGTGATGGTTTGGTTTTATTATTTAAACAAATAATTTAAACATTAAAATCAAATTTAAAAACCAACACAAAACCCCCTGACTGTCCTTTTCAGTCCTTGCAGAAAGTACAGTATACGCCTGATGCTCCAATTCATTATGATATTCTATTAGATCTGCCAACAGAAAGTGCATTTTGAGTTTCTAAATGTTGTTTCCATTAGAATCAATCACTCCATGCAATTAAGCCAATAGGCTCTCACCATTTCTGCTGTTATGAGCTAAACCATCCTAAATATATTGACAGCTGTCTCCTAGAAGATGACACAGATTAGGTGGAGGGGGCATAAGCCTAAATGTCACCAGTGGGAGGACAACAGTTATTCTTTCAGAAATCTACCTAATTTTCATACCCCACAAGGCATTCAAGTAGACTTTCTTTGCATTGGCAGCATGCAGGAATCGATGTTTTGCATATTACAATCAATAACATGCTTAAATGTTTAAGTTTTGCATTCTTTAGCGATAAACATTGATATATTACAAACTATGTAAAACTGTTCATTGGACTTTTTGTTTGCAGCATGTACTGTATCATTCAGCAAATAAGTGAGCTAAATATTGTTTGTTACAAAACAGATGTCACATGAAATTATGCCATATGTGCTATTAAACATTTTCCTTTTTTTTTTTTTACAGTGAAAACCAAGATTTAGTTTCAGAAGTGAGTGTATTTGGCTTTTCAGGGATTTGAAGCATGAAAACAACATCTCTACAATATTTTTAAACCTGCTGTGCATCTTGTAATCCAGTTTCATAGGTAGAATCTGAGTGTTTTAAATGTAGATACATTAAAAATAATGAAATATGCTAAATGTATGGCTGCATTACTACTTCTCCACAGGTTCTACTGATTTATCATAGAGGAAAATGAGAATTTTCTACCGTTTTGCCCTACCTATTAAATGCTAGGACTTTTATCACATCAGTGCCTTTAAATACAGGTACTGTAACTTGAAAATTAATATACAGTTTTTCAACCACCTAAAAAAAAAGGTCCAGCTAATGGATGTATAAAATTTTCTGCAAACATTTGATATTGGAATCTGAGAATAGTGGGAGGATAGTATTCATGGAGGTGAAGACCTGCTTCAGAGCTAAACACAAACCCAGTAACTCTGCACAAGGAAAAGGAATGCGTTCCAACATTCGACTTTAATTGTTTTGACAAAATCATATATGTGAAAGCAGAGCAATCTATATCTCTAGACTTTGAAAGTGTGAACTCCACAACAGAGGGAGCAGAATGCAGGAAACATGTTGCTAAGAGCTATACAGTAAAACAAAATCTGGTTGCCACAAGAAGAGTGACATTGGCATCAGAGGCAAAGACACTTCCACCCACAAATGGAAACACGGCACACTGGGAAAGCAGGAGAAGAGGAGCAGATGCAGCAGCACAGGGAAGAAACTCAAAGTAAAGATCTTCAGACTCCATATGTAGTTTTCTTTCTCTTATTCATCAAAAGGAGGAAGACAGGGTAAACAAAAAGGGAGATAAAGACAAGAAGGTGAAGAAAATATTTCCTTCTTCTTCTTCCCCCCCGAAGGCAAAATACTTGCTTACATTTCTAAACACACTATCTTTGTGAGGCTTCTCTGTAATACAAATAACTAATTGCTTGCCAGCGAGCAGTAAAAGTGAGAGGAAGAGTCCTTGATCTCCCAGCTTGGTGGAGATTCCTGAGGCTTCTATTTGGTAAAAAAAACCCTGCAAACAAACTTTAACACTTCAGTGGACAGAGTCCCCTCTCTAACACCACAAGCTTCCCTATGAAGGCAGACAAACTAATCTTAGACCCCAAACTAATCTTAGGCCTGGTGAAGCTGCCATCTGTAGGTCACAGCACCTACTGTAGTGTATCAAATTCCCTTCCCAATTTCTCCTGTTTTCTGAAGGACAGTGTCACCTTCTTCACATCCCACTGGTTGTTTTGCAGGTTCACTTGGGCTGTTTGTGGAAGAATGGCAGATGGGGCCACCAGGAAGCATCACTGCTGTGCCTCGTTCACACCACCACACACATGGGAGACAGACAAACACCAGTTTATTGGCTCACTGAATTTTCCCACGAAGAGTAGCTTTTCCAGCACAGTGATGCAGCAAAACTCCAGCGCCTCCAACAAACCAGTCCCACCAGCTCTGCCTTGGGTAAATGCCAGGAGAGTGAGCCCTCACTGTTTTGTGCCCACCCTGCAGGTCCAGACAGAGCCCTGGCTGTGAGGAAGAGGGTCCCAGAGGCCCCTGTCACCGCAGGGATGGGCACCCGGTGGTTGTGTCCCCCTCAGATCTGGTGTCACAATGCCTAACACCATCCTCAAACTGCTGTTTTTCCAAGTCTCCTGATCCAACATGCCTTGGCTAAGTCTAAATGGGGTTTTTGTGGATAGAACAAGATACAGTAGAAGCAGGTCAAGCATTTCCCTGGGTTAAAACACAACCATCGAGGAAGCCGATGGTGAGCAGTCAGGAACAGCTATTCTGCAGTACCTTCCTTTGTGGCAAATCCTTAGTTCATGCAAGATGTTCAGCATAAAAAACATACACAACTTCTTTAAAAAAAAACAAAAAGAAAAAAATCAAACTCAGCTTTTTTTTCCTGAAAACACAGTATTTTTTACCCCTACTTCTAGAGAAGGGCAGGATTATTTTTAAATTACGTAGCTAGGTGCCAGTGTTTGGGGTGATAGATTCTTTACAAATGCCAAAGATCTGAGAGTGGGAAAGATTACAGGTAACCCTACAACCCCTGACTGAATGCAAACAGAGTGGTAAAAGCTTCCTCTTCTCTCTGCCTCCATATTGCACCTTATGCAGCAAAGTGCTTCGTACATGATAAAAATAGCTAGGTCTTTCAAAATCTTACAAGAAAGGTACTTGAATGTTTTTCTTTAAACGTTGTATTTTCTTAAAGGCAACATAATGAGGTCAACTGAAGCTGGATTCAGGCTGATAAACTGTGTTTAGGAGAAACCAGAGGTTGAGCGAGGGGGTTTTAGCAGAGGAAAACAAAGAGAATGATTGCAAAAGTCAGATCTCAAAATGTTAATCAGATTCAGAAACATAAAACATGACAATTTAATGGTGTTTGGTTAAAACCAGAAAATTTTAAAGTTCTAAGTATCTTACATTGAATTCTAATACTTTTTTAATTATTAGATATAAAATGCTTACAATTTTCAGTAAAAATTAGACTTGGTAATTTATATTTCTTGTTTATACAGTACAATTTGCTGATGAAAAAAAATGTGCTAAACTTATTGATTCATGACCATAATTGTTTAATTATTTATCATTGCGGAATTATATTAGCATTTATAATAATGCAGATGTGCACAAAGGCTAAGAAGTCATATACAGCTTTTGTTTTGTGTTTGCTGTGCTGAAATTAGGTTGATCCAGGTTGTGTGTGCATACTGCATATTGCAAGTGTTGCAACTCAGCGTCTCTTGGTTTCACTGGAGTTAGAGGAGGTCTAACCAATAGCCGCAATAATGAAAACGCTCCGATAGCTAATAAAGAATATAAACCCAAAGCTAACAGCGCTGCAAAAGAAGCCTCTCCTCAGATTGATTCTTCTGTTACCATGATGCACATTAAATTCAGTGCAACACACGCACAGCTGTTTGCTCCGTGCCACCCACAGCAAAGGAATAGCTCGTGTGCCTTTGGTACAAGGGAAGCCAACGAGAGCTGCACACCACAAAAATTACAAACCAGCTAAACCAGCCAAAATCTTCTGCATGAGGCCAGTTAAAGAAGAACATAAGAACTCTTGATACGAGAGAAACACATTCCTTTAATTTTCATCTTTATTTTAAGGGATCGTAAACACTGGAAGAAAATGACAGATGCCTCACTTCAGTCTCTCCTCCCCTCTGTGTGCTGAATCTATTCCCTCAAGGAACTCCAATAAGACAAACATACATCCCTTTCTCAAGAGCTGCTAAAATAGCTTTGCCATGGGCATCACAAGAAATTTGTAACACTGAGTGTGTCTTTCTGGACTCATCCTTTTGACATATTGATAGCCAAGGTTCCCATTGCCTCTCCCCTCCGCGCTCTTTTCACCTAACGCTATTTACTGGTGCTACCTTTTCATAATTAAGAGTCCGTATCAAAGCAGTTGTAACACCATTTAAGCAGCTTTTCTGAGGAATCAAATCTAAATGAAAAGGCAAAGTATAAAAATGCCCCATCTTCTGCTGTGCCTAACTGATTTGCTCTGCATTTTATCCTCAGGGAGGTGCTGATTCCAAAAGCCAGGGAAGAAGGACCATTCACAGAAGCAGCATCACACAACCAGCAAGGAGAGCTGCTTGTGCACTGTACGTTTACGTGTGTTGAGTGTCTCTAAAAGCAGCCCCCCAGCCATGCTCTGGCCAAATCAGCTGGACTGTTTATCACAAATTCACAGAGTGAGTATTTAACCTACTGACTCCTGCATCACAGCACAGGCCAGGTATTTTTTTCTTTTGTTAGATTAATATTGGTGACAGAATAACACACTCATTAATGGTGATAATGATTACACAGTGAGGTAGAACAGTAATTCTTCCAATGTACCGTACAGAGGAGTCAGTTTCATTAATTAATAAAATTTATTAAAGAACAAAAGACAATCAAAGAAAACACACTTTAGTTAAGCACCTTCTCAGATGCTGATCATTGGCTCAGTAACTTTAAACCTTTCAACCTTCTAGTAAGGCTACATGTGCCACACAGAGGGACAAGTGACAGGAGAGCACACCCTGGCTCAGAGCATCCTTTCCCCCTCTGCCAGCAGGAACAGAAGCCCCCAGTGAGGCTTCAAGGGACTCCACAGCAGGAAAAACCTGGAGGAACTAGACAGCAGGATGAACTGTGTCCCACACTGAATACATGCTAACTGCAGGACTGGACTGTGAATAACAACAGACCCACCACCTATTAATCCATACACTGGATAAATCCCTTCATTTCCCAGCTTGCTCTGTCACTGTGTAACATAAGAGAAAAATTCCTCTGAGACTGCTTCTGCAAGGTCCTAACCACACCTTCAAGAAGCCTGGGTGAGAACTTCCCCTGAGCAGGATTAAAACCTGAATCCTCCTAAACATCTGTGTGGGATGGCCATTTAACAAATCGTTTACCCAAACTGCACAACAACATGCAGGTTTTGGTTTTCCCTAATGTAAAATAAATAAAATCAAACAACAACAACAAAAAACAACTCACAACAAAATAAAACAAACAACTATGGCAAAGTACAGATTAGAATCCAAGTTCCCAGTCTCAGAGCTATCTTAGGCAGCAGTGCCTGAATTTCTTTAAGTGATCATATTCCTTCCTACACAACTGTCATGTCAGATTTTAATTCTGCTTACCAACACACTGCCATTAGCTATCTGGGGGATTTACTGGCTTTGTCAAGCAAGGAAATGCCAGTGTTCAACTGTGCATTCAGTACTCAGTTTTATGGGTAAAAAGGTGGCAAGGAAGAGTGAGATTGCTATATGGGCTGCAAGACTTAGTCCCTGGAATTCCCACATAGTGTTTTTGATCTTCAGTTCCACCATTATGAGATAGTAATTGCTCAGTGCTATGCAGATATAGATGCTTAAGAGATCAGGAAATGCCTGGATACAATAGCCACCATAATGGGGGACTCCAGGCATGCCATGGCAGCTAACTGGGAGAAGGTTACTTTGCTTATTCTGTTTTGTTCAAATATAAATGTCTTTTGGGAAATGACGGTGAATCAAGATCTATTTCTATTATGATCTTTTCAGGTAGTGTCGTATCTACAATAAGCCAAAACAGTCAGCCCCTATTTCAGCTTAAAGTGGCTTTTTAGATGCCAAGACCTATCTGTAGACCAGATGTCCAAATGAAAACCAACTAACCAAAATCCTTCAAATAAAGGAAGTGCTTACAACTCCTAAGTGATGACCCAGAATTCAGTATTTCAGGTTGTTTATTTCCAAGATAACAAACACTCGGTGCAATTCTTACTAAATGATGTGTGAAGTCACTACACTTACACAAGGCTGGAGTAACTCAGGAGTCTAAATTCTCCTCTTTTTCACCAGCACCAATCTGGAGCAACTGCAATTGGGGTGAAGCAGCATAACAGTGCAAATTGTTCCATGTCCTTAAAACCACTGCTCCTGAAGTAAGACAGTGTCCGACAGAAGCTAACCCAAGAAAAAACTACTTTAACATGCTTAATGAAGAAATGAGGTGAAACTGAAATGAATTTTCACAGCAATCAGTGCAATGCTTCAATGTTTCCTTGGAAAGCCTGGCTCCTCTCCTCCCAGGTTGCCCCATCCCATTGTATTTTCATTAATTTGGAACTTAAATCGGCAAAGCAATTGTGTGACTTTCAAAAATGGTTGAAACGTGTAAGCGTGAAAATACATTTTGTGTGGCTGTGTGCAACCATGAAACATTATTTTAATGAAGAGCTTGAAGTTGTATCTTCCCCCTTACTTGTCTGGGTTTATTGTCACCACTGCTGCATCCTCCAACTTTATAATGGCTAATAAGAAATCATGACTGGAGTACAATGGATGGGCTTTGTCCTTCATTAGAATTATTGTTTTTCATCACACTTTATTTTCAGTATTTTTCCTTTAAAATAACTCTTTGAACCAAAGCCTACATTCCTCTCTTGTTCCCACACTAATCTCCTATTTTCCAATCCTCAGGATTCACACATATTGCTATATTTGGTGTTATTCCTAAAGCTCTTCATAATTACATCACAATTAATTCCTTAAATTCGAAAGTGTTTTGAGCTCTCCTAATTGTAGAGACAACTTCAAGAATTTTGCCAAAATAATCTAATGGCCTCCAAATGAAAAGGCAACGAACAAAAACTCCTTAAAAAAAACCCTCTTCATAAGCCAACATCATGTTTGTGGGGAGCCTGACTCACAGCTGTGAATGCTGCGGTTTAGTAACGTAAAGTGCTCGTCACAAAGATCCTGTAAACTTTATACAACTTCTTAAGCTCAGGGAGGTAAATGCCCTGACCTGAGGTCATGCAGGAGAAGTGCTAAACCCCCAGATCTTCCAGTCCCTGCCAGGTGCCTTGGTCACAGGCATGCAGGTCCTAGACTGGCTTCTGATCTCCAGCATCCCATCCCATGAGCTTTCTACAGATCCTGCTGCTGGAACCCACCATCGGCCGGTCCCTCTTCCTGCTCCTTCAGTCTCTAAACAGGAGGTCAAGGCCATGTTCACACAGCCCATGAGCCTCCATGCAGTGCTGAATACACTGCACTCTCAAATAATAACAATTCAGCATAGCAGGGTTTGCAATCCCCCTTATGTCCTTCTCCACCATGACACAAAGGACCCTTCTCTGGTGGCACCACAACAAAATGATGTGCCCAGGCAGAGATACCAACATCAGCTCAGAAGGAAACACCACCTGCATAGCACAGAGCACACAGGGGTACACAAAGGAACACCTTATATACCTGAAAATGAACAGGAGGTAGAGAATTATTCATCTCCAGAGCACAGAGTACACCCTGTTTCTTCAGTCTGTTCACAAGTGCCTCCTGAACCTAAAGAGTTCGGAAAGGCCTGTGGTTTAGCAAAGTCAAATTTCACTCACCAGGTAGAAATAATCAAGGTAAATAAAGTCTCTTTCCCCCTCATCCCATGGGCACTAAACTCTCAGAAAACCTCTGCAGAACTGAGCAAGCAGAGGCTGAGCCACCTACTCAGGACTGGTCATTTACAAAGTCCCATTTGGGGAGTCCTGTCCTGTAACCCACTGCCAGGTGACCTCCACATCAAGCCAGTTTCAGAGGCTGCACAGCACTGAACAGACTCTCTAGCTTTTCCCCTGATCCCAGAGGGCACAACTCCCACTGTAACACAAGAGTTAGCACAATATTCTAATCATCACCTAGACCCAATGAGCATTGAAACTGAAGAGATGGGAAAAAAAGAACCTTTTAGGAGATAAGCGTAGTTTTGTCTGTGCATAATAAGGGTAAAACATGAGATATCTTAATCTTTATCCCATATTCATACATTTATAGCCAAAAAAGCAAGGAACAATATCAGAAATGTTCCAAGAATACTGTGCCAGCACTTATCTGGTGACACTTGAGATGAAGAAGATAATTGAAAGGATGATTGCATTGGGCTTGTTGTACTCCATTGATAAGAAAGGTTTTAGAGAGCCCATTCAGTATGCTCAGCCATGATACAAGATGCCAGGAGAAAACACAGTACTGCAGCAGTGACAGCACCTCGGATCTATGAAACATTAAAATGAAAGATTAAGCAGGCTCTGAAAGAAGCAATGTTGGGCACAGTTTGCTCGATGACAAACATTTGGACAAACATCTAGGCATCAGAATACCTCTTAATCGCTGCCCACTGACTGTCACCCTGCATTCCCATGCAAAAATCTGCCCATAAATTAGAAGCCTTCGCTGTCTCTCCCCTCGGTAAAGGCCAGTAAGAAAAACACCAACAGCCCAAATCCTGTATGGCTGTGCTCTCAGGATCTGCCAGCAGGGCTGACGTGAGGTCCACACCCAGGTAAAACACGAGGTGATCACTTGTTTTGCTGTTCTATTTATTAAACATCTCTTCCTTGATTATAACTAAGCACCAAGTTTTTGCAATACTAGCAAAATCTGTAACGGTTTCTATAACTCTCATGATATTCTAAGCTAACTTCAGAGGCAGAGCAATTTACCAGAACTGCAGCTTAAACAAGTTTGAATTTCATTTGCTATATATATGAAGAGAATGCTCTTACTGAAAAAAGAAATGCATGAGCGCACATTAAAGCAGAGCTTTGATTCTGAACTCTTTATCCTGAACTCTGAACAATGGATACTTATGAATCATTTGTGCTGCATACTGAAGCCTTTTGAACTGGTAACAAGAGAAATCAGTTCTGCTAATGCATCTCTCATCCCAGATCTCTCACTCATCCAGATTTTAAATCTGAAACTTAGAAGAATAAAACCGTCTTTTTGGAAGGACCAAGAGTATTTTGGAAAACAGACTGGTCAGAGGGGAGGGGAATTTCTGGATGGGGCAATAAGGAGATTGCGTGCAGGTTCTGATTTTTCAAGACCAGATGTTTAAAATAAATGTCTGATGAAGGTGGGGAAAAGGCACATTACAAACTGGTTTGTACTGCCTGTATTTGGGACCTGGCAGGGCAATATTGTCACTCTGTGATGTAGAGCAAAACCAGATCATGGGGGTCCTAATGATTAGGATGACATTAAGTAAAGTTTTGCATGTGGACAAAACACAGGATTAAAATTTAGGAACCTATCCTCTATACTGGCATAAATTTGGTCCTAATAATGGAAAACAGTACAACAAATGTAGGAATTTGCTCTTAAGGAAAACCAGCCTTTACTAGTATTATAAAGTCTTTCTATATAAGCCATCTTTAGTCCTTTCTTACAGCTAACAGAAAATGCTCCTAAGTTATGAAGGAAAAGGCTTTCAGCTACGAATTTTATACAAGTCTGATGTAAGAAGTTGCATGTTTGAAGATGTGTTTCACAGAAGAGATCAAATTCAGATTAAAAGAACTAAAAGTGCAGTCTGCAATGATGCATGGACAGATGTGTTCCTCCAACTCCAGACTTTTGAGATCTCCTTTTAAACAGTAGAGAAAGTGTACAAAAAAAGCTACTGAAACTTTTATGAGATAAATTGCACAATACCAACCTGATTAAATTTCAAATGCTATCAACTTTTGCTCAGAGTCTACGAGAGGGAACAGACCTGAATTGAGAGTGCAGCCACTGAAAGTGCTTTCGAGGCAGGTCCAGACATGTGATAAATGAATGTCCACATTAAATGACAATGTCACTAACGACAGAAGCATTGAAAGATCAAACCAAGTGCACAATCAGAACTCTGTATTTCAGTGCAAAATTCACCCTTAATATTTAGCAGTGATGACCTCCAGATGATAAAATGCCTGCAGTGTCCCAAGTGCACATGCCTGTACAATGGAGAGGCTGGCATTAGCACACTGCTAAATCATAGCTTGCAGGTAAGTGCTGCACTCGTTAGATGCCTATGCAAGACACACAGAGGTAAAACCAGTCCTGTACGAATAATGCAACATCTTTTGTCCCCCCTCCCTGCCATGCAGCCACAGCTCAGCAGTAAAGCAATTTACCCTGGCAGTTCCCCAGGTAAATGCGTTACACGAGGACTCAGCTACCACAGTTTGGCAGCTCAGAAAGGGCATGGGGTGGGACAAGGCAGAAGAGACCCCAAGGCAGCCCTGGGAAAGGCTCAGCACTGTCCAAGGGGGCCTGGAATACCGGGGCATAGGGAAGAGCACGGCCTTGCTGCTCCATCACCCCATGTGTCCCTCCAGCGGTGACCACTGTCAGGTATCACCACTGCCCATACTGAAGTGCAAGTGAATTTTTGTCATGGCCTTTTTCCCCACAGGGATGATTTGTGGGTAGGTTTAAGTTATTTAATAAATGACTTAATTCTCAACTTTTTGGATTCACCTGTAACCCCCAAGGTTTCACCAAATGTTATTCTTACCCTCTTTCTAATTGTATACATAAGATTAGACAGGGGTAGCATTTCCTAAGCTCATGCCATAAATACTCTCTCATATGCCAAACTGAAAACTCTCTCTCTCATGTTTAGTGACCCTCAAATCACACTTCTTTCAGATCACCCAACTGTTACAGTAACAGCAAAAGCAACAGGATGCAAATAGCAGAATTCAGCACACATGCACATTTTAAGCTGTATTCACAAAAAGGCACAACTTCCCCTCTGAAATGCAGCCAGCTCTGGGGTAAAATGAATTTTGATTTGGGAGGCAACTTAACTTCCCTACGATTCTGGAGAAAAGAGAAGTTTTGCACAAGGCA